CCAAGTCCAAAATCATCATACAAATCTGTTGGAACCTTCAAATATCGATTTCGAGGTCGTTTACTCAAAAGTTAAACCTTAGTTAATTCTTCCAACTTAAAGTTTCTGAAATTAGAATTTTCCATCTGAATCAACTCTGAATATCCCGAAATCCAATTTCAACCACATGTACAAGTCATAATACCTAAAGTGAAGCTACTCAAGGCTTCAAACCGCTAAATGACGCGCTAGAGCTCAAAATGACCAATCGAATCGTTACACCATCGCATCGTGTGATCGATGTTGGGCAGAGGAAAAGAGTCCTTGGAGCATGCTTTGTTCAGGTCTTTATAGTCTACACACATTCTTAATTTATTTCCCTTTTTAGGGACTACTACTACATTTTCTAACTAATCTGGATGCTTAACTTCCCAAATGGAACATATTTTAAGGAGTTTAGATACCTCGTCTTTGATGAATGTATGCTTAACTTGGGAATGAGGCCTCCTCTTTTGTTTAACCGGGTGAAATTTCGGATCCAAGCTCATCTTGTGAGTATTTATTTCGGCGGGATCCCTGTCATGTCAAGATGGGACCAAGCGAACCAATCTATGTTAGCTATAAGGAATTCAATGAGTTTTTTCTTAAGATCGGGACTTAACCTCGTGCCCAGGTATACCTTCCGATATGGCATATGCTCCATCAATATGTCCTGCTCCAGCTCCTCGACTATTGACTTGGTGGCATCGGAATCGTCAGGGGCTATGAAAGACCTGGGAACTCCGTAGTCATCATTTTCGTCCGTCCCCTGCTTTCCTGGTTCGATCGGTGCTGGTGTCTGTGATTGCTATTTGGTTTCTTACTTGGTGACCAAACTCGTGTTCTTTGATGTCAAGAGCGCGGATATCGGGACCACCTCGTCGACCATGAATATCTCTTTTGCAAACAGTTGCTCTCCGTAAACTGTTATAATTGCTCCTGGTATGGGGAATTTCAACGCCTGGTGTAGTATTGAGGGTACTGCCCTCATGTTGTGAATCCACGGCCTCCCGAACAAAGCATTATATCTCATATCTCCTTAGATCACGTAGAACTTTATTTCCTGAACGGTTCCAGTGGTGTTCACCGATATGATTATCTCCCCTTTAGTGGTCTCACACGCCATGTTGAATCCGTTTAGAACTCGGACTGCAGGAGCAATTTGGTCTTGTAGACCTAGCTATTCTACGACCCTCGATCTTATGATATTGGTCGAGCTATATGGATCAATTAACACATGCTTAACTCGAGATTTATTTATGAATACAGATATTACTAGTGCATCGGTGTGTGGCTGCACGATGCCTTCAGCGTCCTCGTCGTTGAAAGATACGGTTCCTTCCAGCACATGATCTCGAGTCTATTTTTTCCTTGTGATGGACACTTTGATGAGCTTTAACATCGACCCATGGGGAACATCAACCCCACCACTAATCATGTTAATGACGTGTTGGGGTTCCAGTGCTTGATCTGCTCGTTGGAGTCGCTATTCCTAAAATGATTTTTGGCCCGGTCACTCAGAAACGCTCGGAGGTATACGTTGTTGAATAATCGGGCTACTTCCTCTCTTAATTATCGGCGGTATTCAGTTTTGTGGCCGTGAGTTCCATGATATTTATGCATTAGGTTGGGGTCCCTTTGAGAGGGGTCGGATTATAAAGGTCGAGGCCACTTGGTGTGTTTGATGCGTCCGATGGGTGATAAGATGGCAGCAACATTGACGTTGAAGTTGTACTCTGATAACCTTGGTGCTTCTTTAGGCTCGATGGGTCTGTCAAAACCACTTTTGCTCATGAGTCCCCGGTAATTATGACCTCAGTCGCTTCCTCTTTCACTTCTCACTGGGTTTCATCCAAACCTATTACCCATTCGATCTCCATTGTATGGTTGACATTGGTTTCTATTCGATCTTGTTTCATGATCAATGTCTCTTTTGGATCTTTCACTAGCTCTAACGGGATAAACGGACCCGGAAGGAGCCTCGAGCTGATCATCTTCGACCTTGATTTTTGATTGGTACCGGTTATGGACGTCATCCCAAGTTACCGCTGGGTATTCTATTAGATTTTGCTTCAACTGCTGTGAAGACAACGAGCTTCGAGTATTGAGTCCTTGGGTAAAGGCTGGAATGGCCCAAGCATTAGAGTCTGGGGGCAGATCCATCTGTTCTATTTGAAACCTCGATATGAATTCCCTAAGCATCTTGCTATCTCTTTACTTTACCTTGAAAAGGTCTGATTTCCTGGCCTCGACCTTGATGGCCCCGACATGAGCTTTTACAAAGGCATCTGCGAGCATAGAAAATGAGTCAATAGAATTAGAAGGTAAGTTATGATACCGTATCATGGCTCCTTTCAACAAGGTCTCTCCGAACGTTTTCAGCAGAACGGATTCAGTTTCATCATCTTCCAGGTTGTTTATCTTGATGGAGCATATGTAGGAGGTTACATGCTCATTTGGATCGGTTGTTCCATTGTACTTCAGAATTTTGGGCATGCGGAACTTCTTTGGGATCAGCTTCAGGGCTGCACTCGGAGGGAAAGGCTTTTGAACGAATTTCTTAGAATCCAGGCCCTTCAGTATCGGTGGCACTCCTGGGATTTGATCAACCCTGGAGTTGTAGGTTTCCACCTTTTTCATTGGCTTTGATTTTCTTTTCCCTAGATTCCACCCGTTTTGTTAATTCCTCGAGCATCTTTATGATCTCAGTGTTGGTCCTGGGTTCAGCTTCACTCAGCCTCTCTGTGACTGGTTCATTTATGCGAATATTTTCTTGGGATGGTTCGGGCTCAACTCTGTTGGGTGCGCGACTTTGATTCTGCAGCTGGGCTATCACTGCTTATTAAGCCTGTAACATTTCAAAGATCACCGGTAAGTTGATCTCATCGCCCTCACTGTCGTGCGTATCCCTGGTTCCCTCGCGAACGCTGACTTCCAGAACGGTGGGTAAGTTAGCATCGATGGCCACATGGAGTTGGCATCGATTGGGTCTGCGACCAGGGCCCCGTTGGGGTCAGCAGGGTGAACCTCGTTGTTGGGCGCTATATTGTTGTTCTTGCCATGGTGGCCAGACTCAACATCAACATTCAAAGGGGCAGATTGGAAGTTTGGCATTTTTAATTTGACCTGAAATTAAAGATCAAAGAACAAGTGTAAAATAAAGTGTGTTATGAAAATTTGTATCAAATTACCAATATTATCCTTGGCCCCACAGTGGGGCGCCAAACTGTTTACCTTCATAAACGGATAACAATTGAATTTATATGTGGTTTTAAGGATATGCAGATTAATTCAATACAAATGACAAATTGCATTAGATTAAACAGATAAAAGACGTAATAGATTATCAAACCACTTAAGGGGGTGATTCCGGGCTCAAAAACAGCCTTAATGAGATGCATGCCCTTGATCCCAGACTCACAATAACGAAGCACTAATGAACAGGAATAAGAACTTTGAATAAGAGAGTAAATAAGGGTATATTGCTTTGATGTGCTTGTTACAGTGTCTCTAATGAATAATTAGACCCCCTTTATATAGTAGGAGAGTTTTATCCTAAGTACAATTCCATAAAAGATAAATATCTTCTGTTTAACAAAACACTGGTTCTCTGCCGATACGTGCCGAGATCCACGCCACGATATCCGGCTGGTCGCGGATATCACGGCCTTTTGTTGGTCGTGCTCGATTATCTGGTGATGCTCTACGAGGCCTTTGGGGTTTGAATCGGGCCCGGGGCCCATGTCCGCGATACTCCCAAGGGCAGGTGTTTTACCCAGACCCTGGATCGAGGGGCTCCTTGCCTCGACTCCGGTTCCTCGCCTTCATGTTTCTTGCTCCGTTTACTTCATCGGAAACTGAATCGTCCCATGGGCTCAGTTTTACCTGTATACAGACATGGTATATATACGCGCATCGCGCGGGTACTAATACCAGTTTGGTTAAAGCACACAAAGGGCTAGTTATCTATGTAAATTGTTTGGTTGGTTGCATATGGAAACATAATCTCAACATAAAATTTCGCATAAATAATGGAGTACCTGGTTTGCGACATAAATTCTGTATTGCTAAGTGTTTATTTTTATTTTATTTATACATAATTTCGAAGCAAAGTATATTGACTTTAATTAAAGATAAGAATTTTCTCTATATTTCCACAACATATTCTGGAAGAGAAAATGCTGGAGCAGGAAACTAAAGATGTACAATGAATGTGATAGAGATAACATCAAGAATCAAAGAAAGTAAAGAATTATTGATAAGCATTTATATTTGGTATTGTTAAGAGTAACTCTGACGAGGAATATCAATAAAGAAAAAATGGAGTACTAACAGATTGTAAGATAGAAGTGAATCTAATACCAAATGAATCTTACGTCCTGATCGAAACTTACGTCTTCACTATTACCTCAGCTTTGCAACGACTATATAGGTTTATGTTAATGCAATATACAGTTTATACTATCACTTAAATGATAATTACATGTAACCATCCATATAACTTAAAAATAAGACAGATTGACGATTTCAACATATTAAAGTACGTTGATAGGGTAAAAGTATTTTCAATTGGCAGTTATACTGTATAACATTAAAATTCATACGAGTTTAAGTTTTGTAGTATTATGACAATGCATAAAAACTTTTACATCAGGTTAAACAACATGTATAAGTATAACAGTTATTTACACAATTACTACTATAATTTAAACCCTCATACTTAAGTTATTAGGACAATTCTCATCATCTTCATTATGGATCATTCACTTTCTTCAGTACAAGCCATTCGGATATATATTCTCAGAACTTGATTCCGCGTCCAGNCATTATGGATCACTCATTTTCTTCAGTACAAGCCATTCGGATATATATGGCTGATTATTCTCAGAACTTGATTCCGCGTCCAGTTTAAGCAAAGAATCATATGACTAGCTTTGATATAATTTCCTCTTACAAAAACTGCTATAAATACTCTAATAACATGGACCAAAGGAAATCTAAGCAAAAGTAAAAAGAAGGCAAAAATGTACGTGAATTGTAGTTCATACTTAAATAGGGACGATGATGATGACAGTGCTTCTGATGAATTTCCAAAAATATTGAGTCGTAACCCTAATCAATTACGTGCTACTTCAGTTTTCAATCCTCGTCGTCCTGTTGTAGATTATTCTGAAAGTGAAGATGAAGGACAGGCTCAGTGGTCTAACCATAACAAGCCACCTCATTCCACGAATGATATTTCATCACTTTTAAGAATGATGATGATGCTCAACCTCAGACAAGGTGCTGGTGCTGGTGCTGGTCGTACTTCCCAACTGATTCTTAGCCAGAATCGTCGTCCTATTGTGGATTATTCAGATACTGATGAGGAAGAGATATCAGCTCACTACAGGCAGATAAAACACTTTAGCCATCCACATTCCTTGAACAAGTACGACGTTGAACGAGACAACGAAATTAACTGCAAAGTCTGCGGGCTGCAAATTCTTGGCTCGGCTTATGGTTGTCAACGTTGTCAATTTTACCTACATGTTTCGTGCTTCGATCTGCCCCAAAAGATTCAGCACGATTCTCATCCTGCTCATCCTTTAACGCTTCGAAATCTTTCCTACTACAAGAACTGTGGAAAATCTTGTGATGCTTGTTGTGAAGATATACGACGAAGTTTTCTATACTGTTGTGATCCTTGCAATTTTGATCTTCATGTTACTTGTGCTACCTTATATAGCATTGCGAGGAGAAATGATTCACCAAAGGATACTCTTCGACTTTACTACTCGTTTCCTGTCAGTGACAACAATCAAATGCATTGGATTGCGCGATGCAATGTTTGTAACAAGAAGGTGTCTAAGGAAGGTTGGTTATATTATAGCAAGGATACTGGCTATATTGCACATATTAAGTGTGCTAAAGGTGCTAAAGTTGGGGTTTCTTGGATTAAAGAGAGACTTAATATGCTTAAAGTTAAGTAGAAGAAATTAAGTATGTGAGATGATATATATATCTGCTTGATCAAGTGCTTGAAAATATATAATGTAGGGATTATGCATGTCGTTAAAATAAGGTATCTTGCACTGGCAGATATGAAATAAGTCCAGGATTGTACTCTATCTAGTAGAATTGGTGGCCGTGTGATGAGGCATAGGTTGTCTTCAATATTAGCCACCATATATTTGTATGTCGACGATCTTAACTCGTCGGCTATATATGATTAATAAATGAGCTGTGTGTTTATTAGACAAGTGTGTTTTCTGTTTTTTGCCTATTTTTTTACTTCTCTCAAAGGGGATGAACTTATCTAGGGTGTAAATGGTTCGGGTTGGTTCGGATTTTCTAATTACCAAACCAAATTAATTGTATCGGATTATTAAATCTAAATACCAAATCAAACCAATAAAAGTTGGGTTTTTTAATCTTGGATTTTCGGGATTTTTTTTCATAAAGTCTTCATAGCACAAAACTTAAAATTTATGCTCCAAATATTTCTTTAATCCTAGTAAGACAGAACTATATATATAAGGTATTTTTCAATAAAATAGTATAAATATGATATGAGTCATGGCATTGTACTAAAATATTCAACAATAAAGATAATAAAATCGCATAAAATAAATATTATTAATAAGTCATAATGAAAACAAACATAATTTAAAATTATGACTAATAAGTACTATTATTTACATAACTAACCACTAAAAGAAAAATAAGTTATACATTTTATCTAAACTATGAAAAAACTAAAAAATAGATACCCATCACTATTTTCAATCATAGTATAATTGAATTGAATGTCTTCTATTAGCATTAGTATTGATTTAATTTTTATTTAGGATTTATTTGAGGTACTAACATTTATGGACTATAAAACTTATTGGAGCATCCAAAAATTATAAGCCAAAACTTGAAATAATACGTTAAAAGATAAAACTATGAAAAAGGTTAAGAAATATTTATAAACTACACTACCATAAATATTTTTATGTATTAAATATATTTAAAACTTCTATACATATAATGTCGGGTTAGGTTGGTTTCGGTTTGACTTTTTTTAGTTAAAACCAAATCAAACCAAATATGGTCGTTATTTTTTCCAACACCAAACCATAATCGGGTTTTTTTCTCGGTTTGATTCGGATTATCGAGTTGGTGCGGTTTGTCGGTTTCATTTGTACACCCCGATTTTGTTCTGTTGTAATTAACAAAGATTATTATTCTATGTGCACCAGAAATTTACACTTTTAGAAGACAGATAATATGGACGAGGTGCTCAATATCTGAATGAGCGATTTTAAAGATAACTAGTATCTATGTTGAAGAGCTCTAGCTATGGTGGAAATAATAGAGTAGATAGAGAGGAGTGAAATAGAGGAGAAGAACCATTACTCCAATATATCTGAAAATATAAAAATGTACAACTGTCTTTTAACAGTGTAAGTACTCCTACTTATAGAGATTAACCACTAACTACCTTGCTACTCCACTAAGTAGTTATAACTAACTAACTACTAGCTAACTGTACACTTAAACACATGGGACCCACAGTTCTCAACCCCCCCCCCCCCC